CTAGCCCCTCCTTTCCCACAATCCAAACATTCCCTAAGCCCCTCCGCTTCCTTTCCTGGCTGTGTAACCTGGTTCCTTCACATTCCAATCCCAGGCCCCATAACTCTGACCTCATTTTACCCTTGCTCCTCCAGCCCCCATTAGATAGAGAGCTTCTTCATGGCAAGGAACTTGGCATTTTCTTTGTATCTCTCAAGTCCTTATTAAACCAATGCCCTCTTAATGAAACCCTTTGAATTTAATCTCAATAATAATGTTACCATTTACTGTTACTTATTAGGAAGATTGTATAAGTGTATGGACTCCAGAGAGGAACCTGGCTTTGCATGTTTATTAGTTGTATGATTTTAGGCAAATTATTTAACCTCTCTATGCCTCAGTTTCCTCATCTATAAAGTGGAAAGTAATGGTAGTACCTAGCTAATAGAGGTGTTTTGAGAATTCATGTAAATTAGGTTTTGAGTTAATTTATGTAAAGTTCTTAGAACAGTACCATGAAAGTTTCAGCTATTTAGCCAACTACTCAGGAGACTGAGGTAGGAGAATCAAAAGTTTGGGGCCAGTTTGGTCAACATCGTGAGACCCTGTCTCAAAAATAAAAATAGCTGGGGATGTAGCTCAGTGATAGAGCATTTGTTTAGCATGTGCAAGGCCCCAGTTTCAGTCCCAAGAAGGGTGAAATAAAGAGTGTTCACTCTTATATATCAGAAACACATTAAGAATTTTATATTCAATTTCTCTAATTTTTAGGAAAAGATCCTACAGGGCCAGGCATGGTGGCATACACTTATAATTCCTGCTACACGGGTGGCTGAGGCAGGAGGATCATCAGGGCCTGGTCAATTTAGTAAGACATCGTCTCTGAAATAAAAAGGGCTGGAGATGTGGCTCGTTGGTGGAGCACTTGCCTAATATTCACTAGTTTGAACCCAAGGGTTCAATCCCCAATAATACCAAAAAAGAAAAAAAAAAGAAAGAAAAAAAATCCTATAGGGAAATTAGTGTTATCCCCATTTTTTAGAAAGGAGGGGGAACAGCTCTGATGCCGGGCATGGTGGCACAGGCCTATAATCCCAAGGGCTTGGGAGACTGAGGCAGGAGGATCAGGATTTCAAAGGCAGCTTTAGCTAAAGCAAGGTGCTAAGCAACTCTGTCTCTAAATAAAATACAACATGCGGCTGGGGTTGTGGCTCAGTGGTCAAGTGCCCCTGAGTTCAATCCCTGGTACCAAAAAAAGAAAAAAAAAAAGGCTCTGAGGAGGAAAATTACTCATTCTAGACCATTCAGCTAGTAAGTAGGGAAGCCAGTGTTCAATCTTGAGTACCCAGCCCAGCTTGATCCCTCATGCCCCAGGTCTGAGTACCCTCTCCACATCTCAGGCCTTCAATGTGATCAATGGGGGCTCCCATGCTGGAAACAAGCTGGCCATGCAGGAGTTCATGATTCTGCCTGTGGGAGCCAGTTCCTTCAAGGAAGCCATGCGCATTGGTGCCGAGGTCTACCACCACCTCAAGGGGGTCATCAAGTCCAAGTACGGGAAAGATGCCACCAATGTGGGGGACGAGGGTGGCTTCGCACCCAACATCCTGGAGAACAATGAGGGTAGGTGCTGAGCACCCTGGGGTACAAAACCCCTGGATTCCTGGGGAAGGGGAGGAAAGGGTTCAGAGACAAAGGGCACTGGAATCTCAGGTCTTCTCTTGCTCCCCTCCCAGCCCTGGAGCTGCTGAAGACAGCCATTCAGGCAGCTGGTTATCCAGACAAGGTGGTGATTGGCATGGATGTGGCGGCATCTGAATTCTATCGCAATGGGAAGTATGACCTTGACTTCAAGTCACCTGATGACCCTGCCCGGCACATCACAGGGGAGAAGCTTGGAGAACTTTACAAGAGCTTCATCAAAAACTATCCTGGTGAGGGGCAAGAAAGAAAAAAAAAAAAAAAAACTATCCTGGTGAGCCAGGCGCCGTGTGCACCCCTATAATCCTGGCTACTTGGGAGGTTGAGGCAAGAGGATTGAATGCTTAAGGCTAGGGCAACCCCTGTTGGGTCCTGTGGGAACTCAGTCTCTTTTCTTCTCACTTGAATAGATCCTATTCTTATGCTCAAAAAGAAAGAAAGAGGGGCTGGGGATGTGGCTCAAGCGGTAGTGCTCTCCTGGTATGTGTGCGACCTGGTTCGATCCTCAGCACCACATACCAACAAAGATGTTGTGTCCGCCGAGAACTGAAAAATAAATATTAAAAATTCTCTCTCTCTCTCTCTCTCTCTCTCTCTCTCTCCTCTCTCACTCTCTCTTAAAAAAAAAAGAAAGAAATAAAAAACAAGTTCAAGGGCAATTTAGCAAGACCCTGTCCCAAAATTTTAAAAACTATAAAAGACTGGGGATGTATCTCAGTGGAATTTGAGGTGTTCCCATGGTCTGCCCAAGTCCCCTGCAGTTGTCTAATGCCCTGCTTTGCCATGACTCAGGTCCTTCCAATCCTTATCCCCAGGTCAGTCCCAATCTAGATTCTGTTACCTGTAATCTCCCCATGAGGTGAATTCTGACTAACTCTGACTGCTCTCTACCCTCACTAGTGGTCTCCATTGAGGACCCCTTTGACCAGGATGACTGGGCCACGTGGACCTCATTCCTCTCTGGGGTGAACATCCAGATCGTAGGGGATGACCTGACGGTCACCAACCCCAAGAGGATTGCCCAGGCCGTTGAGAAAAAGGCCTGCAACTGCCTGCTGCTGAAGGTCAACCAGATCGGCTCAGTGACTGAATCCATCCAGGCGTAAGTGCCTCCTGACTCTGGGGCTCATCATGGCCACTCTCTGCCCTAGCTCGGCCCACTCTATCAAGTCCTGACCATTAATCCAAGTCTTCCTTTCCCTAGCATCTGACCCACCCACACCATTTTCTTTTTCTTGTATTTTTGTGGTACTGGTGATGGAACCCAGGGCCTTGCACATGCTAGGCAAGTGCTCCACCACTGAGCTACATCCTCACCTCACCCATACCTTCTTTTTAATTTTATTTTATTCTCGGGATTGAACCCAGGAGTGTTTAACCATTGAGCAACAAATCCAGCCCTTTTAATTTTTTATTTTGAGGCCGGCTCAAAGTTGCATAGAGACTCACCAAGTTACTTAGACTGGCCTTGAACTTGTGATCCTCCTGCCTCAACCTCCTGGGCCACTAGAATTACAGGCATGTGCCATTACCCACCCAGCTTCACCCATACCTTCTTGTCTTCAAGGCTTTGGCTTGACCCCACTTTACTGCTCTGGCCCTGCCTTGTTCCTCATCCCCAGCCTATCCATTCTTGTCTCCAAAGTTCTGTTCTCTCTAGGAGCATCTCAGGAACCCCAAGTCAAGATCAGAAATCTCTTCTCTCCTACTTCCCAAAGAATTTAGTCGCTGTCTTCTCTGCAACATACCCACTACCAAAAGCAGAAGGGAAAAGCCCTACATAGCCCCTAGCTTTCTCACTGAGGAGGTCACACAGGACCTCACTAAATATCCTCCTCTATTCAGCTGCAAACTGGCTCAGTCTAATGGCTGGGGGGTAATGGTGAGCCACCGCTCTGGGGAGACTGAAGACACATTCATTGCTGATCTCGTGGTGGGCCTCTGCACAGGACAGGTATTCAGGATTTGACCAAGTGTTCTTGGGGTTCTCTGCCTGTCCCTGAATTGCATGCTACCAAAGGCTGTTCCCTTGGGGCCAAGCTTAACCTCTCCAACCTCACCCAACCTTCCAAATCCTACTTGCTATCCCAGATCAAGACTGGTGCCCCTTGCCGCTCAGAACGTCTGGCCAAATACAACCAACTCATGAGGTACAGCTGGGACAGTGGCCTGGACATTGGGGAGCTGGGGGCTACTAGGTGGGAAGGTGGCAGCTCTTTGACTTTTGTGTTATAGGATTGAGGAGGCTCTTGGGGACAAAGCTGTCTTTGCTGGACGAAAGTTCCGTAATCCAAAGGCCAAGTGAGAAGCTGGAGGCCCAAGGAACCCACTGGACAGACCCAGGCCTCCAAGCCCTTTCCCATGAAATAAACACTGGTGCCAAAGTAGATCATAGTGTGTGTGTTTGTGGGAGGGAAAAAGGAGATGCTTTGAGCTGGGAAAGACAGGAGGTGGACAGGTTGGGGGAGGGAAGGGAGGCAGAGAATAGATGTGTAACCTGCTAAGACAGGAGGAAGTGAGGCCCTCCAGAGGAAGCTGGGTGGATCTAGAACAGAGAAGTTCACACTTTGGAAGGAAGCTGGGGAAAGCTAGTCCCTTGTGTGAAATGCAGCTCAAGAGGTGCTGATGTAGCAAGGAATCAGCTCTAGGAGAACGGGTAGGAGTGGACAGAGCAGCACTGAAGGTCTTGCCACCATTGTGAGGGGGCAGCTGGGGTAGGCCTGTCACCGAGCTGCATTAAATGGCCTGAGATTATACTGTGGAGAAAAGACCACAGCCATCCTGCTTTGTGAGGATGAGTGGTAATGAGAGCAGCTGCCACTTCAGGGCTTACAAGGCTATGGAAGCACATGCTTGTAATCTCAGCTTCTTGGGAGGCTGAGGCAGGAGGATTGTAAGTTCAAGGCTAGCCTTGGCAGCTTAGCAAGACCCTGTCTTAAAATAAAAAAGGCTGGAGGAGTCACTTAGTGATAGAGCACCCCTGAGTTCAATCCCCAGTATGAAAAAAATAAAATTCTGGAAGTATTCTCGGTAATTATATCAATTTACATAATCCTGCCAGACAGTTATCATAATATCCCATTTTTATGGGTGAGGAAAATGAGGCACATAAAGTTAAAAAAAAATCCCTTACTCAAAATTGCAGTTAGCAGTTGGCAGGCCATTTGGCTCCAGCAATCGTGCTCTCAACAATAGTGCCAATAGTTGGCCACCTTTGACTTTCACCAACAGAAACTGTATCCTGTGTACTGAAATTGTTTCTCCTCTTCTTTGCAGTAGCTCTAGGACCCACTTTTTTTATGTATAAACAAACCAGGACATTGGATCAAAAAGTGTTTATTGAATGTAAAGTAACCCCAGCCCCATGGGGAAGGAAGTTCCAAGAAGAACAAAGAATAATACAGATTAAATACCCACCTACACATTCACACTCTTCTTTCACACAAACACACACACCACATACATATCCAAGCTCCAACAGTGACACATCGAACACCTGCTTCCCCCCAGCCTGAGTGACAGCTGGCAGGAGGCGGTTAGGAGGTGGGGCTCCAGGATGGGTCCTAATAGCAGCAGCCTTGTCCCTCCCTGCCTCCTGTCCTGCCCAGAGGTCAAAGGGTGCTGGGTGGGGAGCCTAGGAGGTAGTTGGCAACTCTTCCCCACTCTGCCGCAGACGCTTCTTGGCTCGGATCTCATTCATGGCCTCTTCAATGGAGCGTGTGTCCCTCTTGTTGGCCACAGGCACTGGGGGAGGACGGGAAGGTGGACAGAATGTCAGCCTCCACTCCCCCTCCCATCCTGTGCTCTGTTCCCCAGGTTTCCCCTAGCCCCACTATGGCTCACCACAGCCATAGGCCTTGTTGGCTTGTAGCATGTGGGCCGCATCCTTGGCTGCTCCTTTGCCAATGAGGTGGCTGTACTTGTCCTTGTAGTCACTGGCAGGGCTCACCACTGCAGGTCCCTGTTGGGCTGCCTCTTCCTCCTGCTGCTGAGCCAGCTCCTAGGGGCACAAAGGTGGGGCACCGGTGCTGGGTGCTCAGGAGGCTAACCCTGACCCTTTCCAGGTGAGGCTAATGGGCTGCAGGGCTTCAGGCTAATGGACTACAGCTGCCAGGCACAGCTCACCTTCAGCTTCCGTTTCTCCTCTGCCTTCTGGGGGTCCCACTCCTCTCCATGACGGTAGGAGTCCAGCTCTTCATCTGAGGGTGCAAACTCCTAGGGAAGAAGAGAATAATGGAGTCAGGAGTCCATACAATGTTTAATCTCATGCCTCTCCCCCAGGTATTGGGGGAACAGGCTGAAAAGGGAAGAGATGAGAGTGAGAAGCTCAGGCCTTTTACCTTTTTGAAGATCATGACATAGCGACAGTCATTGTCTTCCCCAAAGGAGAAGGATGTCAGGCCAGCCACTTCCACTACATCATGTCTGGGAAGGGATGGCACAAGACAAAGACTGTTGAGTCATAAGGGAGCCTAGTGTTCTCCTCTGGAGGGATCCCCCTTGACCCTTATGCTCCCCGTTTCCTGCCTCCCACAAACCAGTCACACTCACAGGATGCTCCTCTCTATCTTGTTCATAGGCTCAAACTTTTTCTTGATCTGCCCACTGTCTTGGATGAAATCTGACACCTCTTTCTCCATCTTGGGAGAAGGAAAGGGAAGAAGATATGAGAGATGGTACCACCCAAATATCCCTTTCCCCAGTTGGGCCAGTGGCCTTTCACTGCCTCCCCACACCTTCCCCAGCCTTCATGCCACTGGCTTTTAGGCTTGAGACTTTTTTTTTTTTTTTTAATGGTGCTGGGGATTGAACCCCTGACCTTGTGCATGCGAGGAAAGCACTCTACCAACTGAGCTATATCCCCAACCCATCTTGAGACATTTTCAATGTAACTGAGCCTTCAACTTTTTAACTCTAACTTATTTGAAATCCTTCTAGAGGCTGCCTTTGATCTCTCCAGTTGTTCTCACCCTTTTACGAAACTCCACTTTCTGTTGTTTCTCTTGCTCTTGTAGTTTCTTCAGGCGGGCAGCCTGCTCTGGGGGTGAGAAATGGCAGCATGAGGCCAGGGCTAGAAGCATGAGTGGGGAGTGTGTCAGGCTTCAAAGAAAGTCTAGCGTCCAGTGGGAGGTGGATTATTGTTTATTCACCAAGCATTTACTGATGTTTATTATATACCTGGCACTGTGCAAAGGCCCTGGGGTACCAAGATGATTCAAACACAATTTGGCCCTTTAAGAGCTCAAAAGTAGATCTGACAGGGACCAGAATCATGTTTAATCTCATTTACCAACCTTACTGGAAAACCAATGAACATTTGTTTAATGCCCACAGCGTAAGGCACCTGGGGAAGCAAGGTGACTAAGCCCCTGGCCTCTGATTTTATTATCTCATTGTCTCATGGGAAAGGGGAAATGATTTAACTTTCTATATTTTGTAAGTACTCTCCACTTCCCACTTCTACAGACAGGACAAGGCTGAAATGGCTCATCTAACACTCTTCTCCTTTGGGGATATAGGTGTTCAAGGTATAACTAGAACAGAACTTCCACCCTGGAGTCTTATTAAACTCTCCTCCCTTTCCTCAGATCCTGCCTTTACATGAGATCCCCTGTGCCCTGGAGGAGTGGGGACTTGCGTGTGTGCACAGCGCTGGGGATCAAACCTAGGGTCTTTAGCACACTAAACATAAACTCTACCACTAAGTGACATCCCCAGCCCCAAGGGGTTACCTTCATAACCTGGGCCCTTATTCTTCTCTTCCCCCACGATGTGATTTTATTGCCTGAGATTTGAACACATATCCCTTCTTCCTCCTGCTCTTCAGCCTGAAATATCATACCCTCACCTCTCGCCATTTCAAATCCTTAAGGTCCATTTCTTCCACAGGATATGAATTCCCACCTCCAGCTGCAACAAACCTTTTTTCATTCTTCTAATCATTCTGTGCCTTTGCACCTGTTGTTCCGTATGCTTGGAATACTTTTCCTCCTCTTGCAAACATTGATATCCACCATGAGTCAGAGGTACTTCTTCTACCAAGTATATTTGGTTCAGATACTCACTAAACTGAAAACTAACATTCTATAACTTATTATTTGCTTGCCTTTCCTCCCAGACTATGAGCTCCTGGAGGGCAGGGACCCTGTTAATCTTCTATCTAGTTATCTTCCAGGCCCCACACCTAACAGCCTCGAAGCTGTTCATCCCTCTGACCTTATTGGTCATCAGTAACCATCCTATCTTGGTTACTGCTTTTTTTCTATCTGGTTTTCCAGTCTTCTCTGCATCTGAGGAAGTGGTATAAGATTATAGTTAAGAACATAGGTTTAATCTCTGCAAAAGTGTAAGGATGCACACTAAAGAGAAGCCTCATGAATATAAAGAGTATGGAAAGCCTTAGGTAGCCCTCATCTTTTCAAAGCCACGTAAGAATGCACACTGGATAAATGCCCTATGAACGTATATAATATTCAAAAGCTTTTAGTTATCAGTTTTTGTAGAACATGTAAGAGCAGACACCAGAAATTCAATAACTATATAAAAAATAAGGGGGAAACCCCTCGCTAATTATTTTTTTGGTACTTAGGATTGAACCCAGGATGCTTAACCATTGAGCCACATCCCCAGCCCTTTTAAAAAAAGATTTATGTATATATATATATATATATATATATATATATATATATACACACACACACACACACACACACATACATACAGTATGTTATATATAAATATATTATACATAATATATATATTTTAGTTGTAGATGGACAAAGTATCTTTTATTTATTATTTTATATGGTACTGAGGATCAAACTGGTGCCTCACATGTGTGAGCAAGTGCTCCACCACTGAGCCACAACCCCAGCACCACCAGCTCTTTTTAAAAATATTTTCTTTAGAGACAGGGTCTCCCTGAGTTGCTAAGAGACCCTGAGTGCCTCACTAATCTGCTGAGGCGGCCTTTGAACTAGAGATCCTCCTGCCTCAGCCTCCTGAATTGTTGTGACTCAGGCAAGCAATCCAGCACAGGGCCTTGTTGGTTCTTTTTTTTTTTTTTTTTTTTGTGCTGGGGATTGAACTCAGGGGGCACTCAACCATTGAGCCATATCCCTAGCCCTATTTCTATTTTATTGAGAGACAGAGTCTCTCTGAGTTGCTTAGCTCCTTGCTTTTGCTGAAGCTGGCTTTGAACTCCCGCTCCTTCTGTATCAGCCTCCTGAGCTGCTGGGATTACAGACTGTTAATTGATTTTTAATGGTCCAGAAAATTCACTACACGGAAGAATACCACACATTATATAAAATACAACAGTCATATAGAATAGTCTTTTGTCAATATCTCAGGCTTAAAAGGGACCCATAGATAATGCATATAAAATTTTTAAATAATAAAAGACCAGAGGTTAAAAGTCATACCTGGGCTTGAAACTCTGTAACTTACTAATCACGTGATCTCAGGCAAGTGACTAAACTGATTTTTCCTAGTGTATCAACTGCAGTTAGTGATCATCCAGTCATCCTGAGCATTAAATAATTCCAATTCCTCCTTCCCTATGTGCTCCTTGCCTTTGAGAGCTTTAAAATACACTTATTCTCTGTTAATTCTCTACTCTTACCTCGTTTACTGAATCTATTCTTCAAACCTTGGCTGCAGACAAGGTTAGGACCTCCAAACATAAATATGTAGTTTTTTCTCAAATACATATAAAAAGTATATATTTTTTTCAAAGCACTTATTCAATGCATTATTAAAGTTCTTTGTGACCATTTTAATTAAATGAGCATCTCAGACGGAACTGCGCGCTCCTTGAGGAACATCCCTAGCAGGCGTTCAGTAAATAAGGGGCAATATTTAGATATAGGGGACCCTGGAGCACTTTGGAGGCGTTCTGCTTGCCCTGAGTCCTTGGGGCAGACGGGGATCTGGTGGCTAGGACCCAGCTCGTTCAGTCAGGGCCCCCAGGGTTGGAGCTGGTGTCCTCTCCAAGGCGGGCTTTCCGCTAGGCTACTTAACAAGCTGCAGCACAAGCAACCCTGGGGAGGCCTCTACTAACCCACAGGGCCGCGCCCTAGGCTGGCTGGCCGCCTGCTGGGAAGCTACTCCGAAAGCACAGGCGGGGAGACTATGGCCAATCGGACCCACCGGGGCATTCTCATTCCTCCAATCAACATTACGATCCCCCTGGGCAGCTCGGGAATTTAACGCTGCAGTTGGGAAAAGGATTATTGGACAGACAGAAGATACTGGGTTAAAATAAGAAGGCGGAGCATCGGGACGCAAAGGACCTAGCAGCCAATGGGAAGTGCTGAGGATGGGGTGGGTCAAGAAGATCCAACAACATTCAGGAGGTAGAGCTTTAAGTTGAGATAGCTAATAGCAGTGAAAGGATTGTAGATGAACATGTCCTGAATCCAATCAGAATGGACTTGGAGGTGGGTGGGGTCGGGAAACGCAGCACGCCATCCCCCAATCGAAAAAGGAACGAATGAGGAAGGATTGGAAGCGTTCTGCCAATCAGAACTCGCCAGCAGCGGACAGGCGGGCGTATTGGCCAATTGGAAACAAGGACTGAGGAAGGCCAGGGCAAAGAAAAGGAGGCAGGAGGCTGGAGCCAGGTTTTAGGTAGCCAATCATCATCCGCTAAGGACAGCGGGCGGGCCGGCAGCCCTTTTAGGGACTCTGAGGGTCTCAGAAGGGGCCTGTGAGGGGTCTTGCGGGGTTCAGGAGGCGGCATCGTCCAAATAAGGAAGACTGCAGTCCCGAGAACCGAGCGAAGAAAGGCAGTTGTGAATTTGGGATCCTCACCTCGGGCCTTGCGCCGAGTCTCCTGGTCACCGAGGCTGGGTGGCTTCTCCATGGAGCTCAGGATGGAGCCCAGTAGGTCCGCCATCTTGGGAGTGACTGAGAGGGGGCGGTGCGTCTTAAAGGGAAGGGCGAAATGCCTTTAAGGCCGGAAACACGTCGGAGGCGAAAAAAGTACGCGCCCGCTCCGCTGGGGCGCTGATCCGAGGCCTGCCGCACGCGTGGCACCTCCCCCTCCGTTGGCGAGGCCCCTTCCCGTATCCCCGCAGATAGAGGCCAGAGACTGGCTGGTGCAGCGATGTTTAATGGCAATTTGTATAAACCAAGCCCATGCACAAGTAGAAAGTGCTCGTGGAGTCGGCGGGAGGCCCCTGCCGCACAGACCTCCCCGCGCCTTAAATAGATTTTTCACTATACTCTGTATGTTACAGTATGTACAAGCCCCCTCCCCTCGGGGGCGGGGGCGGGACTCCGCAATGCGTTCCTATGTACATCCCCTCCCCTTTGGCCCGGAGGTGGGTGGCCAGAGTCGGGGTGACTGGGTAAGACAGGGCCAGGAAGGGAGAAAACAGACGCAAACATGCGGAGTCGGGATGGGGCTTCGACTAGCCCCGAAACACTAGGGCGCGCGCAGCGAAGGCAAAGGTGGGGACCCAGGCTTATACATTCAGAGACGCGTCGAACAAATAAATAAGGCAAGTCAGGAAGAGGGGAGTCGGGTGCAGGCAGGGAGAGAGCTGTGGAAAAGGGGCAGGCAGGGCTCCGCAAGTCACAGCTGAAGATGCAGGTATGTGGGGCGAGGTTTTTCTGGAGTCAGGGACCAAAAGAGGAGGGAGGAAGGGCGAGGTGTAGGAATTTGGGCTGGGAAGAGGAGGGGAGAGGCCCACGAAAGGTTCGAACAAAGATGAAAGGGAAAGCTGCCGACAGGGGATTTCCCCTGCCCCAGAAAGCCCTCTCCAAGTTAAGACTGCCAGAAGCGTCCCCAGGGTGGTGAGGCGGCTGTGGAGAGGTCAGGTGGCCAGTCCTGGCTGGGGAAGCCCTTCCAGCTCCTGGTTCTGCTTCAGTTCCCTCATCCTGCAGAGAGATGAGGAAGGAGTCAGAGGAGCCTGGTGAGTCAGAGGAGGTGGAAGGGTACAATCCAGTGAGGGAAAGAATCAATACCTGTGTCGGCAACGCCGGAGGAATCTCATAATTTTACGGGCTGCCTGGTCCTGCTTCTTTGTGAGAAAGGAGCTTCTGGTAGAATTAAGAGGAGGAGAGTTCATGGAATACCCAAGCATCCCATATCCTCTGCCCCTTAGGAACCCCAGTAGGGAAGGGCAGATGAGGAATAGGAGTGAGCATAGACAAAGCTGGTAGCAGAGGGTTTCGGGGCCAGGGCCATACTTGTTACGCGCTGGCATGGGGCCTGAGGGCCGGCGACGGTAGGAGCGGTAGTGCTGCTGGATGAGTACAGCAGCTCTGCGGCTCTGCTGAAATCGCTTCTGTTCATAGTAGCTTCGGAACTTGCTCTGGATCAGGATGGCTGCCTGGGTCATCTTCTTATAGAGTGCAAACTACAAGGGTGGGGAGGAGGGATGGGCTGAAATGAAGTCAAAGACCTAAATCCCTAAAGGTCACCCCAAAGTTAGGTTGATGCAGGTCTCTCTAACCCCACATCACAAAAAAGACTGAATCACAAACAACTCTCACCCAGATCTCATGCCTAATACCTTAAGAGCAATCCAAGTCAGCTTGTGGAGAGAGAAGGGGAGTTAGGGCCCTGGCAGCATTCTGGGTGCTCTGGGCTGGAATGGGTAGAGTGCTTTCAAGAAAAAGGTCTCACCTGCTTGTACTTCCTATAACAGCGCTGGATCACAGCTGCTGCTACCTCCTGCTGCTCCTTCAGCCGCCGGCCCTGAGGGGAGAGGGTCTTAATATCTCACTACCTGCTTAACAGACACTGGGTCTATTCTCCACTCTTCCAGGGTCCTCTGACTCTTCATCCTATCTGAGGGCTGTCTGGATCACTGCTCTTTCTCCAAAAGCCTTCGGAGCCCAGTCTCAATATTGTGTAATTTATCCCGAGACCCCTGACCTTGTACTTTCGGAATGCCGTCTGGATGACTCGGGCTGCCTCATACAGTTCCCGCTGCTCATGATCTGATAGTGTCAGCAGGGCAAAATCACTTTCCATCTTGCCACTGGTAGATGCAGAGAGAAACTCTGCCCAGGAAGGTGCTGGAGGGATAGCCAGGCGGCCTCGCTCAAAGGACAGTTCACTGTGGGAGATAAGAAGGAATGTCAAGGAGCATCTGAAATCCCTGTTGTCCCACTGAGAGGTGGCTGTGAAGGAAGATCCCCGGCAACCGGAGAGAGTGGCTTCCAAGCACATCATTCAATTCAGTTTCCTTTCCAAATGGCCTAGGGCCTCAACCAGAATGGAGCTTTGGCTGTAGGGAAGCTGTGCTTTTTTCCCTTCCTCCCATCTTTCTTTGAAGAAGAATCTGGAGATTTTGTCCCAGCTGATCACCTGGGAGGGGCAGAGCTGGGGAAGTGGTCCACATTCTCCAGGTAGCTGGCCAGCCAGGACATGGTCTCACTGAGCCCCACGGCCCCTGTCCGCTCCCTGCCAGCCTCGGGTAGCCCCACAAAGTCCTCTCGTTTAATCCGTTCTGGTGTGGCTTCAATGATCTGCTTGGCTAGTGAGATCATGTCCACCTAAATAAAGGGAGAAGCTGCATGAGCCACGAGAGGCCCCAACTTCCAGATGTCCTTACCCTGTCAAAGCTGTCACCTCAGTCTGCTCCTTGTCTGGTTCCTTCTCAACATCAGATACTGAGTCCTCAGGGACTGCTCTCCTGCTCTTTTCTTCATTAGCCACTGTTCTAGATTCATTAATTCTTGCTGGCTTCCCCTTGAGGGTTCAGCCTTTTGTGCTGAGATGTGGAGAACATAGAATAAGAGGACATACTCCAAATGGGGATTCAGGAGTTGAGCAAATGCTATCCTTCTAACTGTCCCACCTGGACCTGCCTAGTGCCAGCCAATAGCATATCTTCCCCATAGGTTTGGCTATGCTTGCACCCCAATCCCTTCAGCTCTCTGAGAACCACTCAGTTCTTGCTGACCACATGACATGACACTTTAGTGAATGGCTCCAGCCTGGCCTTTGCTCCAGCCCGGCCTTTGCTCCAGCCCTAAAGCCTGTAGCACTTCCTGTTGACCAGATTCCATGTAGCCCACACTGTGGAGTTCTCAAGTTTTTTTGTACTTAGAGGCTGCTACCTAATTATTCAGCCTCTCTAAAGCAAGTATGTCCACAGATTCTAGTAGAGGAATATGTGGTCACATTTGAAGATTCATTTTTTTTCTTATTCATTCCACCAGACTGTCTTAGCTTTTACCATGTGCAAGTCTTCTTCCCATTTTAGACCACACTGTCAAGTACCTACATCTTGTCTGTTTATACAGTTCCCCAGCTGCCTATCATCTCTGTGGTACTTCAAGAATCCTGTCCTTTTATGATCAACAGGTAACTCTACAACACAGCTCTAAGATATTCCCCAGATTTCTTAACCTCTGCTGCCTATTGACTGCTGAGTTACAGGATCTGAAAGGAGTGGAGCAAAGGGGTTACTTTGCCTGTCCCAAAATGAGAATAAATGGCCTTTCTTCCCAAACCGAAGTCAGACACTGATTCTGCTTCATGAAATTGTCTTGCTTTACTCCATCTCTGCACCCCACTCCACTTTTAACCCTCCTAATTCCATCAGCATAAACAGTACCGGAATCACATCCACAGCAGGTGAGCTGTCGGTGTCCTCTGGAGCAGCCCCATCATCTGGGGCTGGTGGGAGGACAGGAGGGGAGGGTGGGGACCCTTTGGAGTTGGTAGCTTCAAAGTCCATGAGGAGTAGGGGTGCCTCTGGGGCATCAGAGGAGAGTTGGCTTGGGACCATCTCCTCCATAGTAATCTCAGAGGCTGACATAGGAGCAGGGGGAGGACTGCCATCCGGGGCACTAGAGTAGGCGGATGTGATGGAGAAAGTGCCATCTGATAGCTCCGAGGGTGAGGAGACGCTGCTTAGACCTGTGAGGTGAGGGAAGAGGGCGAGGGCAGCAGGAGCTACAGGCCATCCCTCAAGTCTCCTACCCTCCCTCCCCTGGCTGTTCTTGCTCCTGTTATCTCCCCATCCCTGCCTCTTTCTCTCCCAGTTTATCTCCTGCCCTTTGGCTTTTCCTTGGCCTATCCTAACCATACCCCTCACTCAAAAAGATCAGGGGCAGCCCTCACCAGTGTCTGAGCTGGAGGAAGGCGGTGACAGGGCAAGTGAGGGTTCAATTGAAGCTTCCTGTCTCTGCAGTTCCTCAAGGCAGCGGGCAAGGCGTACGTGACCCCGGGAGTGAGCCACAGTCAGGGGTAGACGGCCCAGAGAATCAGGAATGCTCAGTGCCTGACGGTTCCAACGGAAAAGGAGCACAGCAGCTTCCAGGTGTCCCAGGGCACAAGCCCACATCTGAGGAGACGGAGGTGGAGGTGAGGCCTGGGTTCTTCCCCAGGAGGTTAGGTCCTCACACTCTGGCCTGCCCCTTTCTCTGCATTGCCCAAATAATTTCCCCTTTGAAGCACCATTCCATTGCATATTGCTCTGAAGGCTCGCAGGAGCCGGCATCCTTACCAGAGGGGTGCAAGAGAAATGATCCACGTTGAGCGGGTCAACCTCTTGTTCTAAGTCCAAGCTTCCAGTCTCCACACTCCTGGAGAGTTTGAGAGAAGGACAAGGACAGCAGAGCCCAGTCAGAGAAAAGGGGGAAAAGTCCAGAACATCAGAAATAAAGGAACAGGAAAGTGAGCTCTAGAAGCACTAAGGCCAGTGAGATGAGGCAGAAAGAGACTAGTAAATTTAAGGAAGCCAAAGGTTCATAAGTCAAACGTTATCAAAAGTATCCCAAATGCCAGTCCTCTTCCAGCCCTGTTCTTACCCATAGAGACCCCTGCTTCCCCTTTGCAGGGGTGTTCCAGATCCTCATCCCCTGGCACCTTCTGACCCAATGACTGTCCAGCCCCCTCCCTGCTGCCCTGCTCACCGCCACTGGCTCAGGGTCTCGATGAGGCGCGCATAGCCCTGAGCAGCAGCCAGGTGCAGAAGACTCATGCCTCGGAAGGGGCTTCCATGGATCAGACGTTCAGGACCTCTCCAGGTAGAGCGTGGGATCATGTTTTCTACCAAGATGACCACCCGTGCCTCAAATCCAGGCCCTTGGCCTTCATCCTGTAGTACACATACCCATATGCAAATATTTTTGCATCTGGTCTCCTGGCTTATTCCCCTAGCTTCTAACCCTGCTCCTTCCCCACACTTCCTATTCTAGGTAACCATCACCCAGATCTGTGATATGTGATAGCCCATGGTTCTTTCCAGTTTGAATTCCTATGTGGCCTCAGTATCCTCCATTTCCACAGCCCATTTGCTCTAACAACTCTGAAAGCCAGGCTTTACACACTCTTGCCCATATTGTACCTTTACAGCAGCTCAGAATTGTGCCATCCCCACATGGCTTCTCCCCTTAAGAGCCAGAGTCTTCTCAGCCTTTCCCTAGCCCTCTTCCTTTAGAGATTTGGGACCCTCAGAGCTTTGAGCCCCAATTCTTCTGACCCCCTCCCCCACCTGCTCCTTTACCTCCACCCTTCTTCAGACCAGAAATAGTCTGAAGCCTGTCATGCCAAGAGGGTGCCCAGAATAGCCACTCTTGCCATGGGATGGGGGTGGGAGTAGGGTGATGTCAGAGAGAGGGAGGAAGACTGGCTGAGGAAGCTGGGGACAGGCAAGTGAGGACAGGCATCTGCTACAGCCATTTTCTTTAGTGGACCCTCCTCCCTTTCCCCACTGTAGACCCACCATCTGGGGATGATGGGAGGACAGGAGGGGAGGGTGGGGACCCTCCTGTCCTCATGGAAGTACCTGAATTGGAGGAGCCTCAGGACCCTGACAAGGTGCTTGCCCGGCTGCTGCAATCTCTGCCATACGCTTCTCCATCTGCTCCAGCCGCTCCAGGATGGACATCCGGAACTGGTTGTCTGTGGGAATGGGGATGGGAGGCTAACTGGGTAGGGTCTAGGTGTTGCCTAGAATACCATATTTGGACCTGTTCCTAAGTTTAGGGGTGAAGATACAGAACCCTGTTCTTTCCCTCCAAACAATAACCCCTTTACTCAGTCTTCTAAATAAAGCCCACCAGGACTCATCCTTAAACTAGGGCTCTTAATCCCACCCATGGACTAGAAACAGATTCCAAGATTTGAATTAAGGTTGGTTCCTTTTAGACAGTGGTGATAGGAATTCCCCAACAGCCATCCAACCCCCAACTGTCCTAAATCACACATGGCATGCCCTCTACTAGCCTTTTCCTAAGCAGAATATTCCGCCAGTTCTTGCCCCAGACACTACCTTTGTCTCCCATTCTGGAGCTGAAAGACTCGAGGATCCCAACTCTCTGTTAACCACTCCCCAAAAGAACTCAGGAACTGATTTGAAAAGCACCACCCTCTCCTCCCAGCCCCCCACAGCTGTCCACAAAGAGGTGGGGAGTGGAGTGACAGAGAGGGATAGCCATGTCCATTTCTCCTCCCCCTCCAACCCCTACACATATGCGCACACATAAACACATACACAATCTAAGCTTTATCTGAACCCCTCCCGAGATCAAATAAAGACTGAAAAAGGATCTGAATCAAGGGAAAGCAGGCACAGAAACAAGGTGAAGGCTGGGCATGTTCTAAGATGCTGGCATAGAAGAGAATGAATATACAGAGGTGACGGTAAGAGGAAAGTAGAGAATGATGAGCAAAAACCCAAGTAGGATAGAGAAAAGAGCAGGAAAGCTAAATAAGGTGAAAGTAAAGAGAGAAAGGACAAAGGAGCAGAGGAAGCATTAGCCAAGCAATAAGGAAAGAAGACAGAGGCAAGGTCAGATGCTGGTTTCAGAAGAAATGGCTAGATCCCAAGGTAGGCAAACTTGAGTCACATACAGGCAACTCAGCACATACAAACTTGGGTTTTGTGACAAGACTGGCTCCAAGAGAGACAAGGCTCAGGATATGACTTAGTGGTACAGCACTTGCCTAGCATACTCAAGGCCCTGAGTATAATCCCCAGCACTATACCCTCCCTTGGGGGAAAAAAAAAAAGGCTGAGGACCAAAGCCTCAGAAGTAGTGATGGCAGCAAGAACTGAAAGAAACCAACAGGTAACAACAGGAAGAGACAAAAAAAGCAAACCTCACGGGAGCAGCCAGGGCAGTCAGAAAGTTCTCAAAACATCCAAAGAACGAACCAATAAAAGCAAAAATGGTTCCAGACTTCATTACACCTACATACACTATTTAGGAGTACATTTGTGCTTCTGTATGTTTATATAAGAAACCACATCACAATGTTAGTAGTGGATATCACTAAGCAGTAATATTTTTTTTTCCACTTTGTGCTTTTCTGTAATTTCCTATAATGAATGTGTATCTTTAAAATCAGAGGGGAAAAATAGAAATTTAAGTCTATATATACTCATGTACAATGCCTATATATTGCTCTAGACCCTGTCCCCAGCCCCTTGTCCTTCCTTCCATCTTTAGGGATGGCAAGTACTGGGTAAGAAATGGGATAAAGAAGATTCTGTGACTTATAGGGAAGAGGAGGTGAGGGCACTTTGCTGCCACATTCAGAAATGATTGAAGAAACATGGCCCCCTCAGGGGTCTAGAACATGTCACGCTCAAAGGTTGTGGGAACTGCCACTTGGGGTCAGAGGATTTAGTACTCACCATCCAGTGACAACCAGTCAAGCTGTGTACTAGGCAGAGACAGGAATCTGCGGGCTCGATATTCAAAGAGCACAGAAGCAGAAAGGGGGCCCTCCCGCCCTGCCACCTGCAAAGATACCAGCCCCACCTCGTGGGCTGGGGAGTACAGGGTCAGCGAAAAGTCCTCCTTCCCTGGCTCCTCAGACCATGTTGGAGCCACTGCCATCATCCCATATCTATCTCCCCCACTCCCCCACTATGAGCCAAGAGGCCTCTGGCTTCAATGAGTAGCCTTGTCACTGAGAGGGGAGAACTTAATACCTACTATGGACCAGAGAACTGTGGGATTCTAGGCCCTGGAGTTAAGGACATTTGTTACTCAGCAACAAAGTCTGGAAGCTGAGAGTCAAAGAGATCTGTGGGGCTGGAGGTATAGCTCAATGGTAGAGCACTTGCCTAGCATGTACAAGGCCCTGGGTTCCATCCCCAGAAAACACACACAAAAAAAAGACATCTATACTTGTGAACAACCTGATGAGGGTTAAACCCCTTAGTCCCCAACAGCAGAGCCCAGAAGTTATGAGTCTGTTACTGAGATAGGTGAAGCTGGCTATTTAGCAACAGTGTTCAATGAGAGCTGTGTCCCAGGATCTCAACCTATGGCCCTAAGGATGAAGCCACCAGGTCTTATTCCCAAGACCAGGGGCAGAGACTTTTTCTTCAAGTTCCTACCTTCACTGGTCTCATCTCCTTTCCTTCTATGCATAGTTGAGTGGGGCTGTTAATTGGGAGAAGAGGTGGTAGAGGGGGGGGGGAGTGCTGGGGAGTGATATTGGCCAAATTATATTGTTATAGTATGTGCATGTATGAATATGTAACAACATATCCCAACATTATGTATAGCTATAATGTATCAGTAAAAAATATGGGGGGAAAAAAGATTGAGTAAGAGTACCTTCACAGATAATAAAGCTTGATCAACCTGCCACCCTGGTGGTCCTTGGGGTCCCACAAGAAGACCAACTGTTAAATGTAGGGTCAGGGCAAGAGTGGTGGCAAAAGGGCAGAGAAGTCAGTCTAGACCCATGCTATCTAGTAGAACTTTATGCAGTGAAGAAAAATATTCTGTATCTGCTCTATCCCATAGGATAGCACCAACTATGTATGGCTGTTGAACACCTGAAATATGGTCAGTGCAACTGGGGAAATGAAGTTAAATCTGATTTTAATTAAATGGACACATGAGGCTAATGACTACCATACTAGACAATGAAAGTCTAGAAACCAATGTCCTTTACTCCTAGGACTGGTCGGAGGAAACCACTATCTCTCCTTTCTTATTCTCCCTGGATTAAGGTTGGAGACTGTGATTCTAACAAATTCAGAGAGGCTGGACAGACATTAGTGATCCCTTTGGTCAAATGCCTGACCTTACAAGAGGGGAGGCCAAGAATCCAATAAAGGAGTAGAATTATCTAAGGTCACTGGTTAGCTGAAGAGTAAATTTCTTGGACTGGACCTAGATTTTCCAATACCCAAGCCATGCTCTTTACTTGCTGGGGGAGCTTGGTGCCCAGCCTCAGGACTGGATAGGCCTTTGTCTTCTTAAAACAATCTAGCTGTTTCCAGTACTTCTTAGAAGCCTGGAAGTCCTAATCTGTCCTAACTATCCATATGTCTGTTCCCTACTATTCCCAGTCCCCATACCAGGACAGTAGCAGCGTAAGACACCAGGCTGGACAAGTGAGGCTGGCACTGCGATGTGATCAAAGACACAGGAGTAATGCTCGGCGGCCTCCGTCCAAGGACCTGTGATGAGCACCTTGACCCCACCCTGCAGACAGAAGGTAGACAGCCATGTGACTGAAGTTGGGTGTTCACTTATTCATTAATTTATTTAAATCCTTAGGGAATATATACTATCTGGAAGGGCCTATGCTTGCTAGAGACTGACAGGACATTGTGAAGCAAGATCAACCAGTCTGTCCCTCATCTCACCCTTACTGCTAAGTGGTTACATGGTCTCTACCAGAATTTTCTGAATCTGCCAGAATCAGGGGAACTCAGGGCCTCCACAAGGCTACCAGATAACTATTATCATGAAGAAGTTCTGTTCTTAGGCTAATTCATCCCATCGTAGTTCCTCCTTTCCCTCACAGAAACAGCATAAAGCTGAACTGCTGAAGATGATCTTTCAGCTGCCCAGCCTGCAGTCAAATCTCCACTTATATTTTCTCCTCTGTGAGGAACAGCTCCAGTTTCCTCCCCCTGACTGTAGTCACCAAGGGAATGAAGGTCCCTGGGGGATTCTCAAAACCATGTTAACATATGGAAGGGGAGGAAGGGGGACACAGTGGATGAGAACTATAGAAATAGAAGAGAAGCTACACTCTGTAAACATGGAGGTCAGAAAGAAAACCAAGAAGCCATAAAGGCATCTGGGGTGTAGCTCAGTGGTAAAGCTTGCTTAGCATTCATGAGGCCCTGATTTTAATCCCCAGCAACATTTTTGGGGAAAAAGAAGTCATGAAAGCCAAGGGAAGCTAGATTATAGATTGTAGGGTAAGGGTTAATACAATTTGTTCAGGGAAATTGGAAAACAAATGGAGAAGGGAAAATAAGCCTGAGACTCACCTCTGGGTATGACCATTCTGGGGAGAAGTCTGTGATGGTGCTAAGAACAGGAGACAGCTGTGGAGTTGGGGCAGGGATGCTTGGAGCTTCATCGCTGATGAGTTCTCCCATAAGGTCTGGGAATGATGAAAGACTGAAGGGCTCCAATTCACTGGCCCCACCAGGTCCTCCAAATAAGGCCTCCCCTCTTGCTACCCTGCCCGATGGCTCTGAGGGGGCAGGTGAGGATGGGGATGAAGGAGGGGGTGAAGGTACAGGTGGGGCAGCCCCCTGGCTCTTGAGCTCCTCTCCACTATCATCATCTTGGATGAAGAAGCAGTTTCCTCTTCTCCCACTTGTTCCAGACTGTGGAGGGGGTGCCCGAGCAGCTGCCTGGGGCTCCAGGGCAGCAGCAGGCTCTAGGGCAGGACAAGGAGTACGGGCAGCCTCTGCTTCAGGGAAGTCTGGGTTCACCCCCTGTCCCCCTCCATATGTCTGGCCCCTTTGAGGGCTGTTGAGAAAACGATCAGGGTCAAAGGCAGGGCTGGGAGGAGCTGGTAGAGCAGCAGGTTCAGAGCCTACAACCACAGCCAAGCTCACAGACGGCCTACGCTCAGTCTGGTGAGCCAAGTGCCTGGTGGGTGTCAAGCCCCCTGCACGCTGTTCCAGTCCCGTCAGGAGGAGGATGGCAGTACCTCCTCTTGATGAACTCCCTCTAGAGGTGGGAGGGCTAGGTCTGATTTCTAGGGGTTCTGCAAAGCCTGATGAGGAAGAGGAGGAGGAAGAAGAAGATGGGGAGGCATGTGCCTTGGGGAGCTCTGAGGGAAGTGGGGCTATCAGTGGAGGAGGCTCAGGGGGTTGCGACTGGGGGATAGAGGTCAGGGTTAAAGGTCGGGGCTCCACTTTGGGAGAGATGATGCGATGTTTTGTACTGCTGCATTTGTGGGTAAGGCTCCCAGAACCTGGAAGGGAGAGGGGTGGGGAAGAGAGAAGGAATAAGATCCTTCTGCAGTCTTCCCTTTCTGGAAGCCCTTAGAACATATTTCTTGGGGGCTGGGGCTGTAGCCCAGTGGCAGAGCACTTGCCTAGCATATGTGAGGCACTGGTTTTGTTCCTTAGCACCACATAAAAATAAACAAATAAAACAAAGGCATTCTGTCCATATATAACTTTTTTTAAAAAAGTATTTCTTGGGACATCCTTGTACACTAGATGTGCAATACTGATTTCAGCCACTAGGAGGCATCAGAAATGAACACCCCTCCCCCCTCCTTTCCCTTCAAAATAAAACCAACCAGAGGAACACTGCAGGGGAAGACACAGGGCTTGGAGAAATAGCCCAGAGCAGATGATAAAGGCATAGAAAAGGACAAAAGAACATAACTAAGAAGGGTCAATTAGGAACAAAGGTAAGGTCAGGTGTAACTGATAGTATTGGGTGAGGTTGAGGTAACAAGCTGACAGGACTATAAACTACAAGGACTAGGGCTAGTGTTGCCCAGATGGGAAGGCATCTGCTCATCTACCCCATCTTTCTGAAGATGCACAAGACTTGCAAATCAGCATGCAAATCTGATCAACACAAATATACAGTAGTGGAGCTAGGTGGAGAACTACAGGGTCAGGGTAGCTTACCAAGGCCCCCACTGCAGAGACAGGCATGGGTTCGGGGTGCAGGCTTGGTTGGGTGTGTGTCCAAGATTTGCTGCACCAGCTGTTCCACAGAGAACTCTTCTGTCCCATTCCCACAGCTCCACTTGATGCCATGAACTACAGGAGAGTTGGTGGAAGTATGTAGAACCCCCAAAGTACCTTTTATTTTGGTACCAGGGATTGAACCCAGGGG